AGAACTCCTGCCTTTATCTCTTTTCCTGTCCACCCCATTTCCCAGGGGGTGTGAGGATCAATCCATCTGCTCTTGGAACAGCGTGGGAGCAACTTCCTGTTGTTCTCCAGAGCATATGGCTCTGGCTATATCCTTCAAAAGAAAAGATGTGGGCTAGAATCAAGGACATCTATCTCCTCTTCTCTTCTTCCTCCTCCTCCCCACCCAATATTCCCAGCTGGGCCAGAGCCACACAAGCAAAAATGAGCGTCTGAAAGTTTGCCTTGGTTGACTCCATCAGGAAGGAACTATCATCAGCTAGTAGCTGCCAAAGAACAACATTCAAAGAGCTTTGAGTTGGATTGGACCAAGCTGTGACCATCTACAGTTAATCCTCAACTTCCAACCACATCTCCACTGTTAAGTGAGGCATTTGTTGAGTGAGTTTTGCCCCATTTTATGACCTTTCTTGCCACAGTTCACGGTTGTTAAATGAAACATTGTAATAATTAAATTAGTAAGATGGTTATGAAGAGCATCACTGCGCTTGTTGAATTAGTAACATAGTCATAAATATGAACCAGTTGCCAAGGATCCGAATTTTGATCAGGTGGCCAGGAGGATGCTGCGACAGTTGTAAGTGTGGAAAAATGGTCATAAGTCACTTTTTTCACTGCCGTTATAACTTTGAATGATCATTAAACAAACCGCCATGCCCTTGTCTGAGTCTGATTCTGAGGGGGAGATTGAGCAGCTGACAGGGAGTGGGAATGTGGCTCTGGTGGCTGTGCAGGATACTGGGGAAGGGCACAGGCCAGCTGGGCATTCAGAGGAAGACCCAGGCCCACCACCCCTCCTCATCCTAGGGCATGCAGGGAGGAACGGATAAGGGAGCAACATGGGTTATGGGGGAGAAAAAGGCCCTGATTCCCTTCATTAGCTGCAGCTGGGAAACAGGATAAAAAGGGTGTTTGCACACAGCACCTTGTTGGAAGCAAAGTGTGCATTATCTTGGTTGAGCCTCGCAACTGTTGGTGCTGTGTTATCTTTTGAAGGTCTGCAATTTATCATCCTGGCCTGCCGTGTCAATTAGTTCAGTGTGGTTTGTGTTGGTTTTTCTTATTTCTAATTATCTTTACTTTGGGTTCGGACTGCATCTCTTTCTTTCGTAGATTGTTTTTTTTAAGAGTTTGTTATCCAGCCAAGGATAATTGGACATTGGGGCCAAGTCGGAGGCATTAAAAGGAATTTATTCTACTTTTGTGACATTGTTATTTTTGTGTCACGCCCCAGGTCATCAATAAACTGTTGAGAACTACCTGTACTACCCACAAATAGTCCTCCATTTACAACAGTTCATTTAGTGACTGTTAGAGGTTGCAACAACAGTGAAAAGAATGACTCATGACCTGTTGTAAGTTCACTGGATGAGTGGTTATTCAAGGTATATCTCTTCAACTTGGGCTGGTTCCCTCTGCTGCCATTCCTACCACCAGGGCCATGTTGGTGTACCCCAGAAGAAATGGAGGGACAGAAATGTGAACCTTCTGAGGTCAGAATAGATTAACAAGAGTTGGAAGGGACCTTTAAGGTCTTCTAGTCCAACCCCCTGCTCTGGCAGGAAACCCTACACCACTTCAGACAAACGGTTATCCAGTCTCTTCTTAAAAACTTCCAGTGTTGGAGCATTCACAACTTCTGGAGGCAAGTTGTTCCACTGATTCATTGTTCTAACTGTCAGGGAATTTCTCCTTAGTTCTGGGTTGGATCTTTCCTTGATGAGTTTCCATCCATTGTTTCTTTTCTTGCCTTCTGGTGCTTTGGATAATAGCTTGACTCCCTCTTTTCTGTGGCAGCCCCTCAAATATTGGAATACTGTTATCATGTCAACCCTACTCCTTCTTTTCATTAGACATATCTAATTTCTACAACTGTTCTTTATATGTTTTAGCCCTATACTATTATGGACAAATGATTGTCCAATCTCTTCTTTAAAAATCTCCAGTATCAGACCACCCACAACTTCTGAAGGCAAGCTTAATTATTCTTACAGTCAGGAAATTTCTCCTTCGTTTCTAAGCTGCTTCTCTCCTTGATGAGTTTCCATCCATTGTTTCTTGTCCTGCCTTCAGGTACTTTAGAGAATAGTTTGACTCCCTCTTCTTTGGGTCACCCCACAAGAAAACAATTCCAGGTCACAAGAAAACAATTCCAGGGTTGTTCTGCAGCCTTGAAATTTCCTACAGAGAGACCATCGTCTCATCTATCTACGGTGGTCCTCTCAGATGCAAAAGAGATTGCAGGGATATTTGGCTTCAATACCGACCTTAATTTGGTGTGGCCTGCATGAATAGCCATACCCATGGCACCATTAGTTAAGAAAGTGGTGATGACTCTTGAGGTTCCTCATCAACACACATCATCTGGAGAACGAACTACTGGACAGGTTACAGTATTCTCCATCATGGAGTATATTTTACCTATGTTCCCATGTAGACTAGGCTACAATGGGGTGATGTTTGTAGTTCAATAAATGGTAGGAAAACCAACTATTACATTTTGTAAGCTGTGCAAATTAGGCCCTGTGAAACCCTCGTGCCATTGGCAATGTGTTGTCACATGCTTTGTCCTTGCGAAACCCAAGTGAGGGGTTTAATGTATTGTGTGAATCCAGTTCTTGCTTTTCAATTTAAACCAGAAGGGTGATTCATTTGTGGAAGGGAGGGAATAAGAATAACAGAGTTGGAAGGGACCTTTAAGGTCTTCTAGTCCAACCCCTTGCTTAGGCAGGAAACCCCCTATCACTTCAGGCAAATGGTTATCCAATCTCTTCTTAAAAACTTCCAGGGTTGGAGCATTTACAACTTCTGGAGGCAAGTTGTTCCACTGATTAATTTCTCCTTAGTTCTAAGTTGCTTCTCTCCTTGGTTAGTTTTCTTGTCCTGCCTTCAGGTGCTTTAGAGAATAGCTTGACTCCCTCTTCTTTGGGGCAGCCCCTGAGATATTGGAAGACTGCTATCATGTCTCCCCTAGTCCTTCTTTTCATCAGACCAGACATAGCCAGTTCCAGCAACCGTTCTTTTATATGTTTTAGGAAGGAGGGAAGAAGGCTGCATTGATCTGGGAACTGATGGCCATTCTCCCAAAGATATACTCCATGTGTTTAATATCCTTACCCATGTTAGAATTTGTTAATAACATTGAATCTTCAGTGATTCAGACTTGCACATCAGACTTTACAGATGGAAGGAAAAGGTGGAACTTCCTGATTCAAATGAAAACATCATCTATATTCACACGTATGTATTTGCACCAGCAAATGTCACATGGATCAATCTGGCCCTCCTTCTTGGTAGGTACAAAGGCAAACTTGCCACTCCAGATAGCACCACTCAGAGTTAGACAATAAGTGTACCAGGAGAAGAATTCCCAATTCAACCTATCCTACTCTGCGGTTAGGACACTAACTTTAGATGCAGAAGACTCTAGTTCTGAAATTACATGGACAAACTTTTAGTACTACAGCTAGTTCAGAAAAGAAGCAAGTGAGGGCAATCAACCCATGGAAGAGAAGTTGCCTTCAAAAGTTGTGGGAGCTTCATCACTGGAGGCTTTCAAGAAGAGACTCGGCTGCCATCTGTCAGAAATGATGTAGGGTCTCCTGCTTGGGCGGGGAGGGGTTGGACTAGATGACCTACAAGGCCCCTTCCAACTCTGTTAATCTGTTAAATCTGTTACAGTTTGACACCTAAGTAACCACAGAAATGATCTAGAACAAGGGTCTTCAAACTTGGCAAGTTTAAGACTCGTGGACTTCAACTCCCAGAATTCCTGAGCTAACATGTCTGGAGGAGGAATTCTGGGATTGAAGTCCACAAGTCTTAAAGCTGTCAAGTTTGAAGACCCCTGATCTAGAATATCAGGTAGGAAGTCTAAAGTAGAGACAACATTGTCTCCTGAATATATTAGGCTTAACCAGCTCAGTTTTAAAAAACTAACACCCACATCCATACAACACCCTCCATTCAATGTTTTAATTTTGCTTGGATCAATTAATCAATCCATCAACCAGTGGAAGGGGTTGTTTTTAGAAGCTGTGGGTGCTCCGTCACTGGAGGTTTTTAAGAAGAGATTGGGCAACCACTTGTCTAAAATGGTCTCCTCCTGCTTGAGCAAGGGGTTGGACTAGAAGACCTCCAAGGTCCCTTCCAACTCTGTTATAGGCAGTCTTTGACCTTACAACAGTTCGTTTAGTGATCATTCAAAGTTACAACGGTACTAAAAAAAGTGTGACTTTCATGACCATTGTCAACAGTTATGACTTTTGCAGCACCCTCGTGATCATGTGATCAAAATTCAGGTGCTTGGCAGCTGCTTCAAATATATGACCGTTGCTGCGTCCGAAGATCCCGTGATATCCCCTTTTGCGACCTTCTCACAAGCGAAATCAATGAGGAAGCCAGATTCATTTAATGACCAGGTTACTAACTTAACAACCATGGCAAGGTCATGAGATGGGGCAAACCTCACTTAATAAGTGTCTCACTTAGCAACATACATCTTGTGTTCCGATTGCGGTCGTAAATCAAGGGCTACCTGTATGCTGTTAATTCCTCACTCTGAAGATCCGTCCATGTTTGTGCAAATGAACAAGTCAATATTTACAAAAATGGTTCCTTTACAATCCCAGAGCAGGTCCACCCACCACGTCAAGCCATGGAACATCTAAACACCAACCCAAAAAGAAACATTTTGCTTCTGTCTGCACACTAAGACCTAGATTGACAGATGTCAATTTATTCCCTTCTTCCTCCTGTTTGCTACCCAGGGGGGTTGATTTCATTCCTAGACTTGGATCCCAGAGACCAGGAATTCTGGCACCCTTTGCTCTTCCGTGGATTCACATTTCTGGCTTTGGGCAGGTGACAATCTCCTAGCCTTTGTCTCTGATTTAGGGAGTAAAACAGCCAGCCGCCTTCATCACACAATGGCAAGGATGGGGAAAAAAAAACCACAGTAAGGAAACCCCTTCGAACAATGCACATTCTCTCTCTCTCTCTCTCCATTCATCATATACGGGTATCTTTTTTGAATGGGTTTTTGATGTCTGCTAAATATCTACCTCTCCCCGAGGACAACCAGCAACTGGAAAAGTCTGCAGAGATGCAGAAAAAATCACAACGAAAGAAGCAGGAACCGGGAGAATTTCTCCACGCCCACCAAAGCATTGCACATAGTACTCAACTGGAGAAGATGGCTTGCTCAACCACCGAAAGAAAGCAAGCCAGGGAGGGACAAAACCAGAGCACACCAGTCTGTCCAACCCAATCCAACCAGCCTCCCTCCCACCAGGCCTTAGCCACCCTACAGCCTCGTTTTTTTTGCCCCTCAACCCACCACTTATGTCTTCTCCGAGATGACCCAACAGAAACATCTCCTGGTGGCCACACCATCCAACCCTGAAGGTGGGCAGGAGAAGACCCCCTGCCCACAGAGAACAAAGCTGCTGCCAGGGAGAGAAAGAACAACCCCACCAGCCCTGGAGACAAAGAAGATGCGGGCAAGATCCCACCTTTTATCCTGATTTTCCTTGAGGTTCGGACTCTGCCCAGCCTTCCTCAAACCTGCCCTGGGAAGATGCCCCTCCAAAAAAAAAAAAAAAGCCAGCTATTGTCCAGGTTGCATTTCTTGCTTTTCAGCCCAAGACAAAAGCTATGGCGACCCCAAGGGACTGCCACCCCCTCCCCAAATTCAGATGAGCAGCGGGGATCTTGATATCTTACCTTTGCTTTCAGCTGCCCATCATGCTTCTGTCTTCTTCCAGGGGCAAAAAACCCCCCCACAAAAAACGGGCAGCTCCTCCCTTCAGCCAGTTCCCCTTTTTGGGGGTTTCACACCAAAGCCAGCACGCCAGTGAACGCACCCAGGCTGCTTCCAAGCACATGACCAGAATGGCAATCAGTCCGTCCCCGTCCCCTCCTCTTTCCTGGGACCCCCCTCTCCCCTTCAAAAGGTGACAGGAGGGGGGGAGGGAAGGGGGGAGAGACACAAGTCCATTCAGCAGCTTTGCCCAATAGACTGGCCAGGTTCGCCACCTCCTCCCCAGCGAGAGCGAGCGAGTGAGCCCTTTTGCATTTTAAAGAAAGAAGGGGGAAGGCTGCCAAAGGAAAAAAAAGAGAAAGAAAATGCAATTCTTCCGGGGAGGAAGGATGGGGGGGAGAAGTTAGGGGCACAAATCACCCCCCCCATCCCTGGTTGTGGAGAAGGACTGTGTGTTTCTGACCCTCCTGGATGGAGCAAGTTTTTTTCCCCAATGCTTCCCTCTCCCCAAATACAAATAAAACCCAAACTATTAAACAAACACACACACACACACACACACACACACACACACACACACTAAGGTCTATAAAGGTAGAAGGCTTATCTCTCCCCCCTCCTCCCCAGCCCCAAAAGCTGCATGACGCGCTCATCTCTTGGCCGCCCCGTTTTCTGCACTTGAAATGCTCTCCTTACATGGAGGTAAAGGTTTGTGTACAGCTAGTCCCCGACGTACGACCGCATGGGAGGCCAAGCATTTCTGTCACTAGGCAAGACAGTGGTTGTATGAGCCATGCCCCGCGTCACATTGTAAACTTAGAACGGGCAGGAAATGAATGGGTTGTAAGTTGTTCGAGCGGATGCCCTCTAGATGCACTGGACTACTGGCCCCCTTTTCCCCCACAATGGTGCCACCTGTGAAGGATGGGAATTGCAGCCCAGCCCATTTGGAGGCTGCTGGGTTAAGAAATAGCAATAGCCCTTAGACTTATGCACCCACTTCCCGGGGCTTTTACAGCCCTCTCTAAGTGGTTTACAGAGTCAGCCTATTGCCCCCAACAATCTGGGTCCCTCATTTTACTGACTTCGGAAGGAGGGAAGGCTGAGTCAACCTTGAACGGGTCAGGATCGAACTGCTGACAGAATGCAGTACTGCAGGCTAATTCTGCCACTGCCGACAGTGGGCAGAATTAGCCTGCAGTACTGCATTCTAACCAGGAAAGAAAGAAAAAAGGAAGGAAGGAAGGAGGGAGGGAGGGAGGGAGGGAGGGAGGGAGGGAAGGAAGGAAGGAAGGAAGGAAGGAGAAAAGGAAGAGCAATAGCAATAGCATTTAGACTTATATACTGCTTCACAGTGTTTTACAGAGTCAGCCTCTTTCCCCCAACAATCGGGGTCCTCATTTTACTGACCTTGGAAGGATGGGAGGCTGAGTCAACCTTGAGCAGGTCAGGATTGAACTGCTGGCAGCCGGCAGCCTGCAATATCGCTTTCTAACCACTGCGCCATCACAGCATGACGGAAGGTGGTGTCAAGGGTTTGTAGAGCAAAGGGGATGTCAGAGCTGTTGGCTAATGCGCAGGTCATCACGTGCGCTTTGTTTCTGCAAGCCACAACTATTTCAACATCCTATGAAGAATATGAAGAATGGCTTCATATTTTTCCTCCAGTATGAAGAACGGCTGCAGGATTTGGGTCTGGCTAGTCTAAAGAAAAGAAGAATTGGGGGTGACAGCATAGTGATATTCCAGTATTTGAGGGGCTGCCACAAAGAAGAGAGGGGTCAAATTATTCTCCAAAGCACCAGAGGGCAGGACAAGAGGCAATGGATGGAAACTAATCAAGGGGAAAAGCAACCTGGAATTAAGGAGAAACTGCCTAACAGTGACGACAATTAACCAGTGGAACATCTTGCCTCCAGAAATTGTGGGCTCTGGAGGCTTTTAAGAAGAATCTAGACCAGGGCTGTCAAACTCCTGGCCTGCGCGCTGGATGCGTCATGCGCTGGCCATGCACACGCCCAGTTTAGTGAAGGGGGAAAAAGTCCCATCACATGATGTCACCGTGATGACCTGAGTTTGACAGCCCTGGTCTAGACTTACTTATCTGAAATTGTATAGGTTCTCCTGCTTGCGCAGGGGGTTGGACTAGAAGATTTCCAAGGTCCCTTCCAGCTCATTCCATTCCATTCTATTCCTTTGCTCACTTAAATGCCTCCTTTTGGCACACGGGAATATATTTTAGACACAACCTTCCAATTTTGGGCTTAATCTATGGAAAATAGGTCTTAGTCATTCATGGTAAGGAACCTACTTGAGCATAGAAGGACCATGACTGAAAACTCAACATCTTCTCTGTTGTATCACTGAACAATGACTTGATTGGCCACAGTACAGTGAGCTATGATTCACTTAACCCATGACTCAACTAAACAACCATGAATTGGTTAGGAGTCAGTCATAGATCACAGAAAGCTATAAATTAAGGTTTACAGTATACAATAACTAGGCTCACTCAATATTCTATATTCAGATCATCCAACTCATCTAAGATAATTGGACACATGTAAGGATGATTCATAGATAGGTTTTTTCCCTGGGTTGGCTAACCTGGCAATGGCCATGAAAAACTGTTATTTTTTTCAGTATTTGTTGTAATTTCAAATGGTCACTAAACGAACTGTGATAAGTCAAGGACTACCTGTAGTGTGTCTGAGACATTGCAAAAGAGAAATGAAAATAGTGTAGACTGGATTCCAGCCATCCAATTACTATCTGCTCTAAGATGACTTTTCCCCACGCTAGCAGGTTCTAGATACATTAAGCACACTAAAGTAGGAGAGGTATTGATAAATGGCAAAAATGTTGGGAGAGGAACTATAAAATGACAATGGCTACTGCATATAAGGAAAACCTCTATAAAATGTTTTATAGGTCGCATTTGCCACTGGTAAGACTGGCAAAAAAATGTTTAGCAATATGTCCGCAAAATGGTGGAAGTGTAATCAGGCCACCCCAAGTACTTATTATCATATGTGGTAGACTTGTACAAAAGCGAGGAAATATTGGACGAAAATACATACATGCAGAGGTGGCATTCAGCAGGTTCTGACCCGTTCTGGAGAACCGGTAGCGGGAATTTTGAGTAGTTCAGAGAACCGGCCAATCCCACCTGTGACTGGCCCCGCCAACCCCATCTCTTCTCCGCCTCCCCTTGAGTCCCAGCTGATCGGCTGGGTCTTCTTTGGTTGCCCTGCACAGGAGAACGGAGCTGGAAAGCAGGTTATAGTGGGGTGGGGGAGGGAATGGGGATTTTGCAGTATATCCTTCCCCTGCCACGCCCACCAAAGGATAAAGAGGATATAGAATATTACTTAACATGGAATAGATTTGGTTAGAGAGAAGAGGTGTAAATTAGGTGAAGAAAGATTACTGTTAGGTATGAATTAAACATAAAGAGGGTTTATAATCAACAGAATTATAAATAAGATAATACAAAGAGAAACCTAGTCAAACTATTATGTTACACTATTAATATTGTTATCAGTATATATGTTAATATTTCTGTATGTTTTTTCTTTGTTCTTCTGTAAATGATATGCCCTGACAATGAATAAAAAAAAACATATACCAAAAAAAAAAAAAAGAAATAAATAAAATAGGAGAGGTTCCAAACTGAATTTCACCCAGCTTCCTTAAATCAAGCATCCAGCTCTAATATCTACCTCTTCTGAACATGATTTGTTAACTGGAGGGCGAGGTGGACTACAGGTAATTTTCTGTCCCTAAGCTTTCCTATTTGAGATTCATCTTAAATTCTTGAATTCATCCATGAGGATGGAAAACAGAGAAAACAGCACATTCCACCTCCACCCCCATTCTCTCCCCAGGCTACAAGAAATATGGAAGACAACACGATTCCAGCAATTATCACTTCTGGCCCAAAGTTATCTGAAGTTTGGCAACCTCAAAGTAAGCTCAGAACTGTCTCAAGGAGCAAACTCCATGGGATTTTTTATTAGTGTGAAGTTTCAGTTTCATACCTTCTGCGTGTGGTTTCTTCTTCCCCTTTGAGAGTGCTGAGTTGGAGAGAGAATGTGGTGAAGCATGACAGCTACAGGAATGGGTGTGGAAGGAATACCCCAAGCTGCTGAGAGTAGAAATTACTAAATCTACAGGACAGTATGGACGAAGGAGGGAGTCCTTTGGGTCCAGTCTGCAACTCCAGGATTATGAGCTTTTCCTTACTCTTTTCCTTAGTGGACAACCAGCTAAATATGACCCAGCAGTGTGCAGCGGCAGCTTAAAAAGCCAATGCAATCCTAAGCTGTATTAACAGAGGGATACAATCAAGATCAAGGGTGGTATTAATACCACTCTATAAAGCCTTGGTAAGACCACACCTAGAATACTGCATCCAATTTTGGTCACCATTCTATTAAAAAAGATGTTGAGACTCTAGAAAGAGTGCAGAGAAGAGCAACCAAGGATGATTAGGAGACTGGAGGCTAAAAAATATGAAGAACAGTTATAGGAACTGGGCCTGGCCAGTCTAGTAAAGAGAAGGACCAGGGGAGACAGGATAGCAGTCTTCCAATATCTGAGGGGCTGCCATAGAGAGGAAGAGGGGCTCAAGCTATTCTCCAAAGCACCCGAAGGCCAGACAAAGAATAATGGATGGAAACTGACCAAGGAGAGATTCAACCTGGAAATAAGGAGGAATTTTCTAAGCACAAGAACCATCTACCAGCTTCCTTCAGAAGTTGTGGAAGCTTCATCTCTGGGAGCTTTCAA